CCTGAGTTGGAAAGCACCCACAAGGACCATCCAGTCCAAATCCTGGCCCTACACAGACACCCCAACAATCCCACCCTGTCCCTCAGAGCATTGTCCAAACCCTCCTGGAGCTCTGGCAGCCTTGGGGCTGTGCCCACTGCCCTGGGGAGCCTGGTCAGTGCCAACCACCCTCTGGGGGAAGAACCTTTTCCTGAGATCCAACCTGACCCTGCCCTGACACAGCTCCAGCCCTTCCCTGGGTCCTGTCCCTGGTCACAGAGAGCAGAGAGTTGTAGACTGCTCTGGGGTCTCCCTTCAAAGCACCTCATGATCTTTACTGTAAAGGTGTTTAGCAAGATGTAAAAAGTTTTCAAGTGTGTAAGACAGGTTCAAGGAAGCATTTGCTGCCTACCAGTCTGCCTTCTCAAGTTTGCACTGACCCAGGTGCTGGCTGGGGCCATGGGGCTGAGGGGTTGTGTGGTCAGGTGCACAAACAATGTGCTCAGAGGCCTCTTTGCTTCCCTGCAGCTCCGTGGTGGCAGTGGGACCCCCCCAGGCATCCCTCAGCAGTTAACGCCTTCACCGTCCTTTGGGGTGAGTTTGCTGGTCTGGGGGCACACCCCACATCTGGTGGGATTGGGGCAGCACAGCTTCAGGTACTCCTGCCCCTTTCCAGTCTGTCTTGCAGGAGCTTGGGAAAGGATCGTTTTCACCTTGTGCTCCCAGCTTGGGTGTTGGGGACAGCTGAGAGTGTCCTTGGTGCAGGACAGAGCAGGAGGGAGGGGGCAGGAGCTGCACAGACTGCTCTGGCTGTTCTGAACCCACACTGAGCTGCTGTGCTCTCATGGCATATCAATGGGCAGATCTTTAGGGGGAAGGAATGGTCCTATTCTGACAGTGTGATGTTGAGATTATTAAAATGAATGTCTATTCTGAGGATCAATGTGGAGTTTGTTTCTCAAAGTATTATGAACTTCCTTGGTTTGCACGATGGTTCACATAGATGGGTGAAAGGGAACTGGACTATAAACCAAGGAGTGGACAATAAACCAAGTGCCTGTCATACAAACATAACTAGTCCTGTTTCATCACTGTAGCTTGTGTGACCACTCTTAGGTGCAGACATCCTTCAAATAATCAATATTTTATGATACAGTGGTGTATTAGGGAATAGATTTATGAGGATTCCATTTTGATTTGTGAACTTCATTCGTGATATTCAATTATTTTTGTAAAGATTGATTTAACTACATTCTATGTTGAAAAGTTACCCAGAAGTTCCTTATAGATAAAGCAGATTGTGTAGAGCTCAGTTTAATTTAAAAAGTTGTAGTGGGTTAACTGTTGTCTGATTCAGTGTCATTTCTTCTCATGGAATGGGAGAACTATGAATTTTCCTATCTTTAGTACTGATATTCCTTGGTGATGATTTACATAATACAGGGCACTATGAAATGTCTGTGCAGGAGCAGTCTCCAGTTACTGTGTATCATCTGCTTTTCCCTTTTCAAATGGAAACAAAGCTTGGTGTTTAACGAGAAATTTCTGGAAAGGCTCATTTTGGGTTTTTCTGCTGTCCTGTGTGTGTGAAATGCAGCCACAGCCTCGTTAGAGGGCACTCTGGCCTCACCCACGGGGAGGCTGAGCAGCCACATTCCCAAACCAGCTCTCTGGGGAAAAATCCTGATGCAAATGTCCTTTACCCCCCAGAGCAGTGAGAGAAGCCGGAGCTGGATTGCTCTGGGTACTAATGATCCGAGGCAAGATTACCTGTGCTGTGGGCTGATTTCATACTTGTGCTCTGTGTGGAACCTGGCAACAATCTATTAGAGAATTCACTGTAGTTTTCCAAAGGTGAATTAATTAGAGTAACTTGCTTTTCTTGTCGCCTTTACCCATAAACTGCCCTGATCTTAAATGTATATCCATTTTGGAATTTCTTTGGGTTGCTATCAAGTTCAAAAAAGTCAGTCTGTTATAAAAAATAAGTTGCTTCAGAAACTCTTGGGTTTTAATACCAGCCCTTATATCAGTTCCGTCTGTGCCTTTGACAAACAGCTTGTCATGTCTCCTTTCACTTTTCTTCTGAAAAAAGAGGATAATGATTTTTAAGTTGGAATAATTAATCGAGTTTATAAATGTGCTTTGAAATCTGAAGTGTTTTAGAATTTTTTAAAAATATAATTAAAATATTGAACAAAGCAGGAGTCAGAGAAGTCAAATTTAAGACCACGATTATTGCTCAACTGCTTTGGTGGTGCTTCTGTTCTGGCAAGATTATAGAGCCAGATCATTTGCATTACTTTTGATTTCTTGATGTTTTTAGTTTTTTGTCCAAGCAGAAGCATTTTTCATATGCAGGAGTCAGATTGTCTGTAAACATAAACACAATCTTACCTTTGTCCAAACATACCTTGTTTTGCTTTCACAAAACCAAACCAAACTGGTGGGACCCGAAACAATTTCTGAGCAATTAGCACTGACTCATAGCCACACTGGGGAGGCTTGGCAAAACCCAGGGCATGTTTCCTAGGCTGGAGCCATCCCTACAGAGCATAAACCTCAGCTTTAAGGTATGGCTTTATTCAGCCTCTGAATTCCCCCTCTGTGAGAACAGGTCAGGTATGAGCTGGGTTCTGCGTCACCGCTCCTTGGGGTGCTCGTGTGGCTCTCTAAGGTGGGAGAGGAGGCACAACGAGGGGCCGTGATGTGGCAGGGCCAGCCAGGGCCAGCTGACTGACCAGCTCCTTCCTGGGAAGGATTCCTTCCAGCTGGGACTGGCACATCTGCCTTGCCAGGGAGCTTTACTCCGAGATGCAGCTTTGTTATCCATGGGGTAAGGACAATAAACACTGATAATAGGAGGTTCTGTGCTCCAACCAGGAGACAGCACTTTGCTTGGATTTCTGAATCACTCTGTAGGGCTTCCATGAACTCTGTTGGCCACGAGACTCCGTTCTCCACAATCAAAGCAGAATAATAAGAAAAAGTACTGGTCAGGCCATCTTTTTCCTCTCCTAGTTTTTAATCTCCTCTTGCACCTTCCCTTTCTGTCCCACTAGAACAGCTCCTTAGCTTTTTGGCAAAGAGGGGTTGCCTGGAGTAGAAGGAAAGCTGAGATGTTCCCGCTCCAAGGTTCTCCAGCATCTGTCCCAGCTGGAGATGCAGGAGGAGGCAGCAGCAGCTGAGCTGAGTGGGGCCATGTGGGTGGCTGCAGGTGTGTGGGAAGCAGCGCTGTGGAGACGCTCCTGCAGCCTGGGAGGCACCTGATGGCACAGGGGGAACAGCCCTTACAGTCACATCTGGGGGAGGTATCCTGGCAAACCAGCCCTTGGGATAAATGCAGGCACTTGTGTGATTCCCAGCTCCCACCACTCTCCTGGGAGGGTGGCAACAGCTTCTCTGGGCAAAGGGAGTGGGCCAGGGAGAGGGAGCAGCCCAGACCTGACCCGGGGCTGTTGTGGGGCCCCTGGATTGTTTCAGGGAGTTGGGAATACGGCAGCGAACAAGGCAGGCTGGGATGGCTTCCCAGTGACTGCATCATCTGGAGTTTCTGAGGAACCTTTTATTTGTCTGCCTGGCAAGTGGATTTTAAGGTGGAATGGAATATACAGGGACTCCTCTGGCAGAGAAAAAACAGTTACTGAGTTTAAAGCATTTCGTCTGTGGGACTGGGGATTGTGTTTTTCATGGTTTTCAAGAGTGTTTCTTGTACTCTTGTGATTTAAGTTAATGACACTGGGATTCACACTGTGAATGACAGAGGCTTCAGCCAAAGTCTTCACCCCCTTGGTGTTGTTCTCCATCCCATATTCAGATCCCTCTCATGTTTTACCACAGTCTGGGTGTTCTAAAAAAGGCTGGAAATTCAGGAGCTAGTGACATTACAGAACATACTTAAGAGGAGCTCCAGCCTGCTTGCATAAAACACTTTCCTTCAGTTTTGAGTAACATCTCCTAGAAATATTTTCTCACAGAACATTTCTGTGGAACTGAAAGTTTCATTTGATGATGTTTCGGTCTTTGTCATTGTTTGAAGAGCAGCTGGTGTTCTGTGGTGACGAGTTTGCCTGGGTTAGCCAACGCCATCTCCCCAGCACAGTGTAATAAGTGACATGCTGGTGTCATCTCTGCTTTAGCTCTGAAATCAGTCCCAGGTACAATCTAATCTTTATTAAAGAAGCTGGTTGCAGTTCTTGGTCCCATCTCTGGTTACAATCAGTGTTGCACTTAAAAGGTTTCTGCCCAGTGCTGATTTTCCCCCTCAGCAGCACAGTGTCTGTAGGGATCTGGGGGCCCAGTGCTGGTTCTGGGCAGTTGTTTTGAGGCTGGTGATGTGACTGAGCTTTCTTGAGCCCATTCCTGCTGTTCACTTCCCCTCAGACTGACGTTCTCACAGGGCAGGTTCTTGTGCTGGCACAAATTGCTGTGTGATGGCAGTAGGCAGCAAGAGCTGCAGAGTGTTTCCTGCTTAAAAAAAACAGTGAAAAAGCCACTGCTAACAGAGGTTAAGGGAAGAAGTACAACTGTGTTTATAAAAACACAGGAGAGGAGCATAATGGGGAAAGCTTAAATTGAGGGCAGTCTTCTGCCTGATGTGATGATGTAATGGAACAAGCACCATTTTTTCCTTCCTTTTTTTCTCTTGTTTCAGTAGGAGCAGTTTAGCTAAGAGCCCAGTGGTGCTGTCTGGCTGACTTGTCATAGGTTTAAGCATCAGAAAGTACATATTTTTATGTAGAGCAAAGGCAAAACTTTGGGGATATGCTTAAAACACAAAAGAAAACAAAAACAAAAGAACAAAACCAAAGAAAGTCTTTGGTGTACAGTGTCCAGAGTGATTTTAAAATGCTCTTTTTCCATGCCTAAATAAATGGTGATTTCAGCCAAAGAGAAATCTTTCCTTGTGATTTATTACACTAATTTAGATATAAGCCCTCTGAGCAGGATTGTCAGTTTACTAGAACAGCCTTCTTTCTCCTTTCAGATTTAATCCACATGTTGTTGTATCAACAGAGCCTTTGTCTCAGCTCAGTTATGAGTTATCCTTTTTTAATAATAATATTAAAAAAAAGTGAAAACACATGTTTTTTACAGCCCTATTACAAAGAAACATGGGATGACATAGGGAGAGGGGACCATCAACTGGTGACTCTGATTTGTAAGTAACTTCAAAGTGATGCTGCTTATAAAAGGGTGAAAAATGGCCCTCTCCCTTCTCCCTGGGCAGGGACTGTGGAAGCCCAGCAATGAAAAGAGGAGGCAGCATTTTCTTTAGCCAGGATTTCCGAGGTTTTTTCCCCCAGCTTGTGCAGTGATGCTAAACGTGCTCTTTTTAGTTAACTCTAATTTCCTTCCTTTTTTGTTTTTTAAGGAGAACTTATCCAGAGGTGTATGTAATTCACATTTCCTTCCTTCCTGCCTTCCTCCCCTGCAGAGAAGGAGTTCTTTCTTGGACCCCTCCTGTTTTCTAAATGGAGAGGAATTACTCTCAGGAAATTCATGAGTTTGGTATTATTTCTATACTTGGTTTTGTGAGAAAACATTTATTTTGAGTATAAATGCTTACTTGATACCTTCATGAGGGTTCAGAA